AATGTCGGCGGATTGTGGGTCAAGCGAAATCGCCCCTCTGCGCTCCGCAAAGAGCGACTAACCCTGTTTGGCAGCTCCTTGGGGAAAGTGCACTAAGTGCTTCCAGATGAGTGCGAGCTGCGAAACGAAAGGCAGGATTGATCGAAGGCTTGGGCCCACGTTTCTCATCGGTGGGTATTCGTTGCGGACATGCCCTTATTCCAACACTCATAGAAGTGGACAGAGGGCTTCGCAAAGGAAAGTCGTCTACTCGAGCCCTTTGGGGAGCTTCCATGATTGGAGGGAGGGTGGATAGCAGATGATAGGGATCGATGCCGAACAAAGTTGGAGGTTTCCTCCATGCGGTCTTAAGGTGGAAAGTTAGTACTGCCTTGGCCCCCAGACCATGAAGCCTGGCAATCTATAGAGGTCAAAGACAGGTTTGACAGGGGTTCCTACGTGTCCCTCTTTGGGCCTCCAAGAGTGGTTGGAACAGTAAATTGCAGCTGTTTGAAAGGAATCCAGTAACCCCCGGTCTGAAAGCCAGTCAAGGGGGGTTTCAGCCTGGACTGCCGCTTTTTCACGAGAGCTGCATCAGGCGCAAGGAGCGCGTGCGCAGAGTGAGCCACGGGGGCAGCAGGGGCAGCCGCAGGCGTGCGAGCGCCGATCGTCCGATCGGGTGTCGCATGCGAAGTACGGCTTGGGTTTTCAGCAGGCGTTCAGACCGGGGGTCACTGGATTCCTTTCAAACAGTTGCAATTTAGTAAGTTCCAACCACTCTTGGAGGTCCAAGAAAGGGACATGTAGGGCACGGGACCCGTCTCCGGCTCGTTTATCCCCTGGCAACTCATTGAGGCGCTGGCCGCGGGTGCGGCGGTCCGGGTCTATGGGCTGCAGGGTGCCCCGGAGCTGAACGGGCGAGAGGCGGTGGTCCAGAGCTTCGATGAGGCGAGTCGTCGCTTCGTCGCTTCGTCGCTTCGCTCTCGGGGATGATGTTTTTTTGGGCGAATGTGCAAGGGGTTCATATCACTATGTTGGTTTGTTTCTTCAAAGATTGCCAACAAGTTCGGGTTTCAGGGTTTTATATAACATTGTGAACGCATTCACGGTTCATACAGTCAGCCTTGGACTGTCGACAATGTGACACGTGCATGCGGACAGCATTTTGGCCCGAGCAGCTGCGCTGAAAGCCCACGGTCGACTTCAGTGGTCATCCGCTTGCGGGAGGCCCAGAGATAGAAGTCCTGTAGGGATCTGCACTCAAAGCTCACAACGAGCTCCCATGACCACACCATCTCTCGGATTCCGGGCAACTCAGCCCCACAGACCTTCAAGGGAGCCACTTGCAACCGAACGCCCAGCCAGAACGTGTTCGTGTGTGTGTGTGTGTGTGTGAGGGTGTGTGTGTGTGTGTGCTTACTTTCAACGGTTTTGCTGGTTTCTCAGGTTTCGTGGACCTGCAAAAGTGGCAGTGGACGGACCATGGGGACGAGCACTTTCCTTGGGGTTCGGTCCTGACCCAAGTGACATCCAGGATAGATGAGCCACGGAAAGGACCCCTCGAACCACGGCCACGACCGTTGGCAAGCTTGGCCCTGATCAAAGACAATGGCCCACGAAGAGAACCAAGACCGTGGCACCTATGGTACTGAAACCATCCCCATGCAAGATCTGGAAGAAAACGTCCAGTCCCTTTACACCGGACGTCAAAAGGAGACAGGTATTTTATGAATCGTTCCAGACCCATTTGCACGATTCCCATGTGGTCGATTTCTTCGAAGGAACGCTTGAAGGGGAAACCAAGAAAACCAAACAAATATTTTTACTGGAGCCCTAACAAAAACTGTGTGTCTTTTTCTCCACCTTCGCCACTTTTTCTGCCTATTCTCTCCGGGTTTTTCCCCATCCCAGAAGTCCCGAGCGACATCCCGCGCTGCGGCTGCATCCCAGGTCATGGGCTGCGCAGCTAGCAGCGCCCCTGTGGGGCCGGAGCCGGTGCTTCCATCGCGCCGGGGGGCCAAGGGCCAAGTGCTTCAGGTACTTGGAACAGGTCTTTTTTTTTAATAACTTCCCCCCCCCAAGTTTTAATGGACTTGGCGAACTTGGAACTTGGCAAACTCAGACTTGGTTCTTCATTTTTTGGAGGCTTTTGGGGTAAACACGCGTTTCTTGGGCGAGGGAAGCCAAAGGGACGCGCTGTGGCATTTTCCTTTTTTGCGTTTTTGGGTCTATTTGAGAAGAGACACGCACGGGAAGGTGTGCGCGGGGGCTGCCTCACGTACGGCCACAAAGTCTGGGCTCCGAAACCCAAAGGATCCAGGGGATCTCACAACCATCTTGCCGCAAGAACCCCAAGTCGGCTTTCTTGCGCGCATCATCTGCATGTCCAGTTTCTTCAGTCAAGGGCCAAAATGGTTGCACATTCTTTTGGGGAAGCTTGGGTCAGAAGGGGCCCGTTAGTTTGCCATGCCGGGCCCCCAAGTCGTCAGGTGAGCGCCTCATTCGACAGGACCTGGGATGCGACCTTGGGAGCCGCAAGCTTTTGAGCCAAGGCGTGGAACGATCACCAGGCAGAAAAAGGCGAATTCCTAGCGCGGTGACTCCGAAAATTTGTCGAAGTCAGAAACTGGCTAAGCTCTCCCCGCTTGGCCAAGGAGGGCTTGGTGTTGAGAACAGTACGCTGATTTGGCCCCTGGAAAAAAGGAAGCCCAACTCAAAAGGACCTCCCTTCTCATTGAGTAGGGGGTTTGTTGATCAGGGGGTGGCTGGCATCAAGGCCAGATTGGGCCTGCGAATTGAATCTGGTCACAGTCCCTTTTCCACAGTGGAGCTTTGCATTGGACAATCCTACAACCCATTTACGCATTCATTTTTAACAGCAGGCTGCCGCAAAGACATTTGTCCAGACTGCTTCCATTCACTCAACAGTGTTCGGCATTTGCCGTTTTGGTAAGGTCATCATTTGTAACCCGCAATATTCTGTGCGGTGAGCGAACTCCCTTCTTGTTTAAGCCAAAGAACTTGAACTTCGCAGAATCCGACAACCCCTTTGGTTCATCCCTCCTCCCCCTTGCTCGGCCCAAACAAGACAGCCATGGCGCCTTGTTGAGGGCTGAAGGGGTGGGAGTGGGAAGCTGAACCCAAGTGGGACACCCTGGCGTCACGGTCCATTGACTGGCGGAAGCAATGAGCCAAACGGAAAACCATGGGGAGTGGTCTTGACATTGGGGGTTCACCCCGCCTTAGAAATTTACATACTCAGTTGGTCTAACAGTGAATTGATTTGATAGGTCAGTGCACGATCTAATGTTAGGCCTGCATTTGCTGACACTGTTGCGTTGGTCTCTACGCCTATCACAACGATAGACTATGTCCCCTGGTGGTTCCAATCGGAAGCCCGTATCCCCATTCACCGCAACTCTTTGCAGGTCAGCAAAAGACTGATCGTTTCGTTCCCACAGTCCACCAACAAGAGTGACAAAACAACAACAAAAGATCTAAACATGTACACTCAGCACAGGTTCCAATGAATGTGTGTGTGTGTGTGTGTGCGCATTTACCTGCGCGCTTTTCTCCCGCGTGAATATGGTGTGTTTTGTTTTCTCGCAGGTGAAAGAATGTGATGGTGAGTCCGGCATTCCTTGAGGACAAAATGCTCATCCCGATCCGTCACTTCCAAATCGAACGGCAGCCCATGAGAGTCACTGCTAAGGAAAGCGCCCCCTCCCCTCCTCCCCAAATATATAACAGCGAAAACCATCGGGTCACCACAGAATGTCCAGCCCCCGGAGACCCGAAAGCGAAGCGGCTGGTTGGATGAAAGTGGCATGCCATGCCCTTCACATTGACAGGGGTCCTTAAAGAATACATCCGAAAGCCACCTCAAGGAGCTTCTGGAATTCAACAGGCAAAAGTGAAGTTTCATTCTGCCCCAGCTGGCATCCTTTAAGTGATTGATCAGCCAAAAAGAAGACAGGGCCAAAGAAGAAGCAGGGGGGACCGACCAGACAAACATCCCTTTTGGTTTCCCCTGTTTCCAGGACATTTGGCTGTGGGTCAAGAATAGGTACCCAAAATGGAACCCAGGTAAAAGGAACCAAGGACTAAAACCTGCGGTCCAATTCCTGGTGGTTTAATTTTGACCCGTACCCATTTGGGGAATTGGTGAAAGAAATCCAGGACGAAGACGGGCAAAGAGTTTGTGAAGCCTCCATCCACTTCCAGGACCCAAGAAGCTCGGATTCCGGGCACTCATGGCCGGTCTCAAGGGTCTCAAGGGTCTGACCTCAAAGACCCTGTGGAAGTAGAAGTAAGTTGCTTCTCCATGAAGCCTACAAAAGGTTTGACCTTTTGCTCGGGGAAGAGCAAGGGTCTCCCCTTTTTGGTATCGGGCTTTGCTTGGTGAGTGGAAAATCAATTGTATCTCGGAGGGCCTCATGAGAGAGTTCTTGGCAGTCGTTCATGTCATTTGTGGGTTCTCTTGCCAATGAATCTGAATACCGTCCCACCCAGTAACAAATCTGCCAAGCTAATTTTGGAATGGACGTGCCAGTTCGTGCCCTCCCAAAAAGCCCATGAACGCTGGAACCAGGGCTCGGGAATCGGGCAAGTTTTTTCCACCACTTCTGTAGGCAAGATTCCCTCCTGGAGAATGAGTCTCTGCATCGCTAATTCCCAGAACCCTGCCTGAAAAACATCGGTGAAAGCTCACTCCCACGCAACTGAATGCTCTTGGGTTGGGTCTTTCGCCTTTAGCTTCTAATTGAACATTTTCCCACTAACTGGCGCAAGTTCGGCATGTTGGGGCCCGGGGGTAACGGAGCTTACCTCAGTCTCAAATCCTGGCGGTTGGGACATCAACCACGATCTCAGTATCGCCAGGTGCATCAATTCCCCTTTTCTTGCTGGTGCTCAGCAGGGAATGAGGGACATTCCATCATCTCTGGTTTCTTTCAAGTCATTCCCTACTGAGCACCAGCAATTTTTGGTTGGGAGGGCTGTACGCCCACCATGCTTCATTGTACTTTCCCTTAGGCAACATGTATGACTCGCAGAGGATTTCCTGCGGGAATGTGTGGATGTGGGTTCTTTTTCTCCAGGTCGGGGTTCAGGAAACCTTTTGGAGACTTGTACAGATTTGGATGTTTGAACCCGTCAGTTCTAAACATGGATATTTTAACGCCTCCGGCTCAGGCCGCCGACATTACAGGCCTGCTTTCTTATTTGCGTCCCTTTGGAATTGTCCCCTTGCCCCCTTCCCCTCTGAGATTTCTGCCCCCCTTTCTTTGTTGAGATCCATTCCCCCTTTCCGCCCTAAGGCCTTTTCTCCCTCTGATTTTTTCCCTTTTCCTCCCTAAGATGTTTTCCCCCCTCTCCCTGTTGAGATCCTTTCCCCCCTTTCCCCCCTAAGGCCTTTTCCCCCCTGAGATCTTCTCCCTTTTCCTCCCTTTCCCCCACTTCCCCCCCTACGGCCTTTTCCTCCCTGGGATCTTTTTCCTTTCCTCCCTGAGATCTTTCCCCCCCTTTCCCTGTTGAGATCCTTTCCCCCCTTTCCCCCCTACGGCCTTTCCCCTCGCTGAGATCTTCTCCATATTCCTCCTTAAGATCCTTTTCCTTCCTAAGATTGTTTCCCCCCTTTCCCTGTTGAGATCCTTCCCACCCTTTCCCCCCTCAGGCCTTTCCCCCCCTGAGAGCTTCTCCCTTTTCCTTCCTTAGATCTTTCCCCCCTTTCCCTGTTGGCCTTTTTTCCCCCAGATCTTCTCCCTTTCCTCCCTAAGATCTTTTCCACCCCTTTCCCTGTTGAGATCATTTCTCCCCTTTCCCCCCTACGGCCTTTGCCCCCAGATCTTCTCCCTTTCCTCCCTAAGATCTTTCCCCCCCTTTCCCTGCTCAGATCCTTTCCACCCTTTCCCCCCTAAGGCCTTTCCCCCCCTGAGATCTTCTCCCTT